AAAAAAAAAAACGTCGCCGTCGTCTTAAAATAGATTTGAATTCCTACTACTGCTAACAGTCATGTTAAATCAACAAACGGCGTGAATCTAAATGCGTAGCAAAATTACTAAAGAGTTTTGTCCTTAACAAATTCACTTATTTTGAAAACGGTTTTCCCAGAAAAGCTCAAAAGATACAACCTTTCTCTGTAGTCAATGACAGCCTCGTCGCTAGCAAAATTAGCTGCATCGGAAGAATAAGACCATCCTTCTGCATCGCCTGCGCAGAACAGGTCAATCGTCCAATCACCAACCCACTGCCAACCTGAAAAATTTTCGAGTCTTATTTTTTAATGTGGAAGCATTCTATCACTAACAATATTAGCAGCACCACTCTTTTAATTATATTTGATGGTACTCATTGACAGGCTTGTCTATTCCTGAATTCGGGTCTGAAAGTCTTGAAAAAAAGTCTCTGAAACTACAGACCTGGAGGAGCACTTCGACCTCGAGCATGTTCTATAGCGTTTCCAGTAGCGTCTGTGTAATATAGATATTTCCACCGATCGTCCTGTTTCTCTTGCATTTCAAAAATTTCATCTTCATATTGCGGATGACCAGCATCTGGGCCCACCCACATATCGTGACAAAACATTATCTTCCAAGGGCCCTAAATCAGCCACGTATCTTCACCACACCGAAGAAATGTCTGCTCGCTATACACGGGTGCTAAAAGGCGGTAAAGTATCAAACCTTGTAGGACCAGCCATTCGATAATCTTACATCACTTTCGGTCATTCGAATAATTCCTGTTTCGTCTGATCGAGCGTACGGTTCACCTCTGTAAACGGTTTCTGCAGACGTAAACGTAACATGCGGAATTACCGAATTCAATTAAAATAAATTTTCATCAAAAGAGCCAAATTTACCTGTGAATATGGCCTCTGCAAAAAATCAGTTATTTGAAAATCAGATGCTTTTTGCAAATTTCTTCAAAGTGTTCTTGCCGCTAATAAAGCCTGAGCATCTTCATTTGTCCGTAATGAAACAACAAAACGAGTTTGTGAAAAACGAGACCAACTTTCTCCCGCTTGTCTCCTCCCAATGATTGCCTACACGACGTCGCTGGTTTTCGAAGACCTCTGCAAAATACTGCACAACGCCGGGCTCAACAACCTTATCCCAGTGGCTACGATCGGCTACTTTTCCAAACCAGGCACGAAGATGCACAACTGCCGGAATTTGTTCTTCCTTTTCTTTTTTTTCGTCGTGACTTGGCCATTTTAGTGTAATGGCTCGCAGTCGCCCACAAAACATTCCGCGGTAGCATTCATCTTTCTGATAACACATCTGAACATGCTTGCCCCTTTCAGATTCAAATGCATTTAGACTAGCACGACACATTTTAGCTGTTGATGGCACATCAGTTCATCTGCCTGCTCTTTGTAAGCAAATAATTTTAGAAAGCAAATTATGAAGCG